CAATGACAACCAACTCATCCAGTAACATTGTCTAACATGAAGTCTAAGATATTGAGAGATTCCATGCATTGCTCCTGCTTCGCATTTTTCTTCTGCGATTCCTCTTCGTCCAGCAAGAGGTTTGATCCATGACCACTGGATGACGATGACATTTCTCCTACAGTGACGTTATCCTCAAGCACAACGTCCTCTGTTCTGGCAAAGGCGCAATGTTGAGAGTAAGACATTGCTTGTACATGGGTTCCTGCCACCAGCTGTAGGTTTCCCTCTTCTTGGAGACTTGACTGGTGAACAGAGAGTTGCATTTTGTCATCTGTTTCTTGGACTAAATTATTCTGGATACCAGAAATGTTATCAGTTCCTAGATGCTGACTGCTGGCTACATTTGCTGTGTCTGCTTTATTGAGCAAAATGTTATGTTCTACCAAAAAGCCAGGGGGAAACTCATCCGTGATGCTAGTAACATTTTCTTGCTTTTCTGCCTGGTTACTGTGATTCTCCAGAGTCTGAATATCTGGCAAATCTATATCAGGTGAATTTACAAGCACTGAAAAGTTATCCTGTGGTGTAGCAATTCCTGCATGGCCTTCCATGCTAGATTTTCCTGTCTGATTTGCTGTTTGATACCCTACATGTTCTTCTACCATGCCTGTAATATTGTCTGTGTCCAAAGACTTTGGAGGCAACTTGTCCATAACTGGCATGTCTTCACTGGATTCCTGGACTAAGCTATAACTAGCTGTCTCAGCTGATGCCAAGTTATTGAGATTTGGCATTTCAGGTGGTTGTTTCTGTATGCCATTTGACTCGTTGTTGGTCAGAGATGAAGATGTATTTATCAGTTTCACAAGAGAATCAGAAGAGGACAGAGCATGACGACTCAGGTTATGCTTCTTGGCCAGATGGTCATGCAGTTTGTCAGGACGGGTTGTTCGGAAATTACACTGCAGTTTTGAGACAGCTAGGCAGGTTAGTAGATTGGAGGCAGGTGCATGAAGTCGCATGTGTCGCCTCAGGTTCTTTGCATGTGAAAAGGAATGACCACAGACCTCACACTGGTGCACTCTTGTCTGTAAAAGGAAGAGTCAAAAACTTCAACATTTCTATCCCTTCTCTTTCCAAAAACATAATACTACCTACTTACTTGAAATGATAAGTTTAAGGCTAACAAGAATCAAAATTATCACAAGCTTATTACAAAGAAAACAAGACATCAAAAAACAAAATATGCCAATTTCTTATCATTTCAATACCTTAGAATGGGTAGCAAGATGATCATTCAAATGTGTCTTCCTCTTAGAAGTGAACGAACATCCAGGGTGGGGACATGGGAAGGCCCTGCCAGAGTGCTGCAGGAGGTGAGCCTTGAAACTGCTGACATATTTTGAGGAGAATCCACAAATGTCACATAGCAGTCTGATGGTTGGACTGTGGGTGTACAGGTGGGCTTGTAGTGCATGGCGCCACTTAAACCCTCGTCCACAGTCACTGCATACAAATCTAACAAGAAAAGAGACAGAAAAATACATCATCTTTGCTAAAGTTAATACCACTGCTAACAGAAATAGATCCAGTGCAATATTGTTTTTTCTTCCTATTACACATTTTTGCTAGAAAGTACAAAATTATCATATTATCAATTTTGGTAGGGAATCTAAAAAAAACAATTCTAAAAATGTATCTAAATCTTGGCAATTACTAATCAAATATTTATCACACCAATACATCTCATTTTTTATGCACTGAAAGTAACTACATATTTTTTACATTCAAAGATACTTGAGAGCAACAAAATGTTCTTACGGTTTAGAGGTAGAATGCTTTGGCATGTGCATGGTGAGAGCTGCACGGGTACGAAATCGCAGGTCACAATACATGCAGAAAAAGGGGAGTTCTTGGTCATGCAGAGCAAAATGTAAACGCTGGTCCTCAAGATCTCGTACCTGTGGGAAGTATCGAAATTATAATGCTCAGAATACAGTATCAGGGTATCAACATATCAATAATACCATTATTTTTGCACTGAAAACATAGCCTTTTTTCATGTACAATACTCTTAAAGACAAGAACAAACAATACCTGCACAAAGCACAAAGGACACTCAACAGTGAAGTGTTGCATGTTTTGAACGTGTTTCACCAGGTCTCCACATCGCTGGAATGCTGATCCACAAACAGTGCAGATCAAACCTCTTCCAACAGACCTCTGTTTTTGCTGTTTTTTCTTTTGCAGCAGTTTTTGTGTTTCACCGGAACATATATTTTGCTGTTGCTCAGCATTCACAACTACACTCAGCATATCATTCCTACCCTCATTTACAGTGCAAGATGATCCTTCGCCTTCCATTTCGCTAGCCTGGTTTGTGAACTCTAATTTGGATGTAAGGTCTTCCATAGTTGACTCATTAGTAGTCCCACCCAACCTTTCCAGGGATGCTTCCTCTTCAAAGCCAGAGACACTTTCATGACCTTGAAGTTCAGTGATGGATGGCTGAGAAGTG